AAAAACACTCTAATTCCTCCTAATGCTTGCTGAAACCAGCTTGTATCAGTTTTTACTGGGATTACAGTTGTGTCCTCTTGGTCAGAGTTGTCTGAGCACCAGAGAGGATTGGGAACTGGAGATCAATTCATGCTTTGGCCTCTGACCTGGGAAGCAACAACTCAGGCTGCCCCATAGGAAATCTGTTCCACTATAATAATGACGGATGGGGTTTATGGGGAACCCAATGGACGTTTTCCTGTCTAAGACTACATTTTATTAATGTTTCCCAAACTCCCTAATAAAGAGCTTGTGCTTTACTGTGACAGTATTGATGTCGAGATCGAGTGGGGTGTATGGGCTAGTTACAAATTCTCCAGTGTCTTATATACTGTCACTACTACTATTTTGAAAGTGTCTCTCCTCCAGCAAGTGCATACTTTCAGATTTACCTCTTAAAAAATAGCAGCAATTTTTGAAACAGTGGGTACTTGATTTTGAACAGAAGTAGACAAAAATAGTCTTTTCAGTTCTGACTGGTAACCGTCCTAGATCAGCTGTAGGTAGTTAGCTAATTAAGCTAACATTAACATTGTGAATTAGTTGAAAGCACCGTCTCTTTTTAGTGCTCTCAGCTGAATATTTTAAATAGACAATTAAATTGATTAAATAGATAATTAAAAATGTAGTCTCCCTTACAGCACTCATAGGTTAAGTGTGATGGAATGGCTCCGGCCATGGCCATTTTGGCAGTCCTGACACTGCTGCCTCCTGAAGTCTGAGAAATCTGAGAAGTTTGAAAATGGGCAAAGACGTGGCGCGTGGACTGAATAAAGCCTGGTTACTTAAAACAACTGCTGGTGTACCCACCTGTCACTCACAGCGGCCATGCTTTTAATAACTTTAAGCCTTAACGTAATTTAAATGGGTGTGCTACATAAAAATGCAATTACAGTTGTCATAAATAAGGTATTTAGATATAGAGACTTATGTCTTATGTTTTTGGTTTTGAAAAGGCTAAAACAGAACAGCCTATTAATATACACCACTTGGAGAAATTCAAAGACTGACAAACCCGCCATGCCTAGTTAGGACTGTCACACTATGAGTAGACAATGCTATTCAAAGACATGGCCATGGGACTCAGACCAGTCTTTGTACACTGCTGTGAGTCACCCATCATTTCCTTTTCCTTCCAGATGCGTCCAAGACGGATGTCCCAGAGGACTTTGACATTGACATGGAAGACCCAGAGACCGAGAAGGCGGCTGTCGCCATCCAGTCCCAGTTCAGGAAGTTCCAGAAGAAGAAGCGCGTTGAGAAGTCCTAGTGAGCGCCACGCTGCTCTGCCACTGTGTGAAGAGACGACACAGTGACGATGGTGTGACATTTGCATGTAAACAAATTCATACCTGTTGGAACTCCAGGGGTTGTGATGGGGTTGGGGGAGAGAATGCAATAGCCTGTTTATCATAAGACATGTCTGTGAATTTTCATTACCCTATTATTATAATTACTATTATTTATTATTTGACTGCTGTATCAATAAATAAGTAACAGAAAGAGTTATGAAGACCTAGTTTCTGTCCTGTTCCATATATCATGAAGTCTAGCTGGTGTTTGTGTTAGAATATTTTTTTGTACTTATCCTAGCCTCATAGTTATATCTGCACCATCCCTTTCTGTACTGCTGAGGACTACGTTTCCCTAAAAAAACCTGTGTTTGTGTGAGTAGATGGACCAAAAGCTGATGTTAGAGTGAAAGTTGTTTTGAGGAAACTTAGCCTGGAGCTTTCCATCGTGAACAGAATATTTCACCCAGAGGCATTTTTCTTACCTGCATGGTACTATCAAGCTGTGTATCAATGTACATTGAATAAATAAAGACTATGTGTGGAAATTGTGTACAGTGCATGTAAATACCAACATTTGACAAACACCCCGAGCTACATATCAAAAGTGGCAGCTGAATTGCTGCAGTATGTCTAATATATTGCGTTTATATACACTCTGCAGGAATAGCAGAGGGACTTATATTCTGATGACAAACTATAAATAGAAACCTCTTCAGAATGAGCTCAGCTGAATCTATTCCCTTCTCAGCTTGATGACCTTCTCCATGTAGAGCCAGGCTAACTGACTGACTGATTCCCACTGAGCTGTTTCCAGCTTTAGGCACTTTAAAACACACACCCAGCAACATACACTTGCATAAATATTTAGTATTTTGGTTTATAGGTTGATATTTCAGTTCAGAATTATCTGCCTTTCTTTGAGAAGTTTGAGTAGGAAACAAATGAATTTGAGAGACATTGGCATCTGATTCTAGTCTTAGTTTCCCAGCTGCTGCTCCATAATTTGTTTGACTTTCCTTCTGCTCTGTGTAAATAACTGGGTGGCCAAGATTTTACTTGTGAGGCAGCTGCCACAAACAAGCCTTGCTCTTCTTAAAGTTGATCACAGAACAGCACAAAGCTTCCATTGTTATATAGCATACAGTAACATACATACTATGTGGCATATTATGTGGTTTCCCTCATTAGTCTGCATAAGGAAACGTGAAAGCACACAAACACTGTCTGTGCTGCAGCCTATAGTCCAATAATTCAAAGGAATAACATATGAACATAATGCAACTTATGTCACAGAGAAACACATAATTTGCTAGTTTCCTGGAGATAAGATAAGATAAGATGTTCCTCTATTGATCCCCCATAGAAGAAATTCAAAGTCAGACACAGCAGCATAGGAGAATGTAGTGCAAAAAGTACAGAGTGTACAAGTACAATAAGAATCACATTATGAGAATGTTAACAAAATATAATATAAGACGATTTAAGACTATAAATGAATAATATATACACTATATGCAATATGCAGTAAAATGGTGTGCAAACATTTTTTTGCAGTTTTTTTCTTTGAAAGACTCACTAAACTGTACATGTGCAAACTTAAAGATAAAAGATAAATGATTTAAATAGTTTGTGCCAGAGTTTGGTTGAAGTTAAAACCAGTCTTAGTCAGCGGGGGTTGGAGGTACTGGGTGCTGTGGCGTTGTGGAGTCTGATGGCTGATGGTACATTAAAACGACCCACCAAACCGCTTTGATAAATCTGTCTATATTGTATGTACCATTTTGGACAGCAGAGTTAATTGCTAGCAGCATTGGTCGGTCGGCCCACCACTTTCGTCCAGATTGAAATGTCTCAACTATTGGATGGATTGCAACAATCACGTTCTTCAGATGATTAATCTGTCTGACTCTGGGGTTCCCCTTTTCCAATTTTCATCTGCTGTTGCCCTTACATATTGTACAGACATTCATGAATCCATTTAATCCATTCATGAATTGGCATGAAATTTGGTTCAGACATTTATGTTCCCCACAGTGTGAATTTAAATCAATTCATCCAATACTTTGGTTTATGAACAAATACCTACGAATATCTGCCTCAGCTGTATTGCTGATTTAGAAAACGGTAGCAGACTTCTTAATAAGAATTCTGCTCCAATGAAAACTTTGAACCAGCAGTTAAACAACATATATGTAAATGATCTAAAGAAAGCTGTTGTAAACTGTACAAGAGACTGATGGGTGTCAAGCATGTCAGGAATTTAAACTGTCGAAGGTTAAGAAGAACAAGAGCTCAAGGGTGGGTCACTGAACGGTATTATATCAAGGTCAGTGATGACCTTTGTACCCCAGGGAATTGATCCTCACAGCAGATCAGCTTTGTAAGCCTGAGAGGATTAAACTGTCATGACAAGTGCACCCAATTCCCTGATATACACAGCCAGATGGTTTATAGTGCAGAACAGTCAAATAAAGTGCATTCATTACATTTTTTATCGTCTAAATTTCCTTAAAAAACTTGCTTGGTGCCATCATCTCTTCCTCCCTAAAAGGTGACAGTGCAGTGACCTTTAGATTTCCAGTGGAAGTCATTGTTTCATGGGAATAAAAGTCTCACTGCAGTACCTTGTTTGTTTGCCTGCTTGCTTTATTTTCCACCCAGATGATTTCTAAAGAGGATCTTGCCAAGTCATCCAAAGGCCCACAGAGAAAAACAGACCTCCCAAGGATCTGCTAGTCCCTTCCCTTTGTTTGTGTGTGTGTTGTAATAGAATCTAAATCATAGTAATCCATATTAACATATGGAGATTTTCTTCTGATCTGGCATGGTAACAAGCCTCTCTACTCTCCTCCTCGTCTCTCCTCTGTGCTCCTCCCAGCTGATGTACAAAGGCAAATTGGGAGGTTGACAGTGAACTGTGTCATCACCTCTGGGTGCTCACTTCTTCCCTGGAGTTTGGCTGGAAGGAAGGTGTATTTCTCTCTTCTAGAAATTGGAGATAGATTACAGCACCACAGTCTCCAGACAGAGTAGTACTATTTTTAAGTTAATGTTTGGAGTGGGGTATTAAAGTCGACAGGGGCACCTTGTCTTGTACTTTAGACACAATAGAACAGAGTAAATACAGCAGGGATACGCTGTGGACCATTTTTTGGGGACGGATATCAACTATTCTGGGGATAATGATATGTTGATAAACGCACTGAAACTGTCTTATAGTAAACTTAAATGTGAAGACAGTGTAGTCCATCAAATTATCTTTACCATATTTCACTACTGTTTAGAAGGCAAAGATGAATTCAGCATTTATCGCATATTACTGTTTCCTTTGTTTATGTCTGGACAGCTACAGAAATCCATTTCACACTATGTTGAAACTGATAATAATTAATCATCCGTGTTCTTATGAAAACTGACATTTTCGTGATTGGTTCACACACTGCTGCCCACACCCACTCGTGCATGCATTTGAACATATTTCCTTGAAAATAAAAAACAAATCATATTGGTTCTATTCATGCATATGTATACATTTTTACATTATTATGGAAACAGACAT